AAAGATCACATGAAAAGTTGGATCGAAGGACACGCCCACACGTCTATGCAACATAACATGTGAACATCTTTCTTCTATGCGTTCCTTGTTTGGTACAACATATGCACGATATAAATTTCGAAATTTATTCTGGAAATAGAAAAAAACATCCGCGTCCCCCCCCAACGTTATAGTTCTCGTCCTTTTTTTTAGTCTCGTTTAGGATAACGGTGGTGGGTATAAAAGATTCGGTCACGTCCGAATGCAATTTTCTTATTTGTTTTTATTTTGAATTTTTTCACCCTTCGCGATATGTTCTTTTTTTTTTTGGTTTTCCGTTTTTTGTAATTAAAATTGTATTAATGTTATTTATTGTATATCAGCTTTCTATTTTTAATTTAAATAATGCGACGTTTTTCGGTTGTTTTTTGTTTTTCTTGTTTTTTTTTTTTTTGTTAAATAACTTTACATATATTTACAAGAGCTTATAATTTTTTTGCAAGTTGTTCATTTTAGTGTTTATGAATATATGAAACCTAATAATTCAACTGATATTACATGTGAACGAGGTTCGTTTTAAAATTTAAAATTTGTGATTGTTTTGTGAGGCGAACCAGTAAAAGCTAGTGTTCAGTTACATACTTATTTCTACATTTTTTTCTTTTATTTATTTTTTATTTTTGTTGCTTTTTAACAGTAACACTAAATGCTCAGTTTGATGTTGCTTATTGAAAGTGGAACGTATCTTACGATATAGTTAGTAATTCTGCCTTTATTTCTTCAGTTACCTCATTATCTTTTGTATGTATAGTGTGTCGGCGAAAGAAAAGAACAGATTGCAAGGGTTTCAAATATAATTAAAGCGAAATCAGGGAGTGTTTGCGTTAAAATTTATTTGAAGACAATCGCATTACATACAAAGAGCAACGTTTTTGCGGACTTTTTTTTATAAAGTGCGAGCAATTAGACAGAGCCGAATGTTGATAGGGCAAGGCGACCGTAAACAAAAAAAATTCATTTCCCTGAATCGTTCAGAATACCAGTAAGAGTACAGAACGGTAAAAAGGGAAAAAGGAAAAAGATTATAGAACATTTGATCTATCAATCTGTCTACCTTCGCGCTGTACGTATGCTGTGCTCTCGCTGCTGTGCTCTCGCTTTGATAGGGAATATTAAATTTTCAAAAATAGATGTCTTCTTACTGGCCAAAGATGAAGTTCGAAAAATATTTTAATTCGTTTACAAAGCAAACAAGAAAAGTAATTTTGGTCGACAAGCTAATAGTACCGTGATTTAAAAAGAAGAAGTATTTAATAATAATTGCAAAAATTGGTACTCAAGACTCGCTCTAAGGCGATTATAAATTTTCTATTCTTTAAAGTTTTTGAATCATTTTGGCCATTTGTTCTCGATGAATATGTATAAGATGAAAATTGTTCAATTCCCATTAAGGCGTTAGCGTTCAACCATAACAATATATATATAAAAAATTTTCTACAGTCGACAACGAAGTAAATATACATTGTAAACACAATTATGACAATTCATTTTATTTACCATTGGAATCATTTCATTTATGTTTCTAATCAAACTTCGTACGATTAGAAACTCTTTGCAGAATTTTAATTAAAAATTAAACATTTCAAAAATTTAATTTTTTTAAATTTTTTTTTTAAATTTTTTTTTTTAAATTTACAATATTTTAAAAACTTTCTCTTTGAAATAATAAAAATAAATTTTAAAATCATTTGCAAATTTAAAGTATATAGAAATACAAAACATTTCGTCAATTAAATGGTCTTGAGAAAAATGTTTCTTAACATTGCTGTAAAATTTGCTTATGACACGTTAAGGTCACAAGTTTTCTTATAAAAACAAAAAAAATAAATAAAATTTTTAAAAACACTTTTGAAAGTGTCAGTCAGATGTTTATGCAACTTACGTAAGTAAAATTCTTTCACTTTTAGAGGAGTTCGTTATCTGTAGCTGCATGCTCTTTTTTTTTTTTGTTGTTTCAATATTAAAAAGTAAAAAATTAAAAAATACGCAAAATTTAGATATATATTTAATAATTTTTTACTTTTATAATCTGTATAGCAAATCGTGTTGTGAGCCGTATTTACTTTGATAAAGAAATTTTGCAGAAGTTTTACTTGCTTTCAACATTATACCGAACGGCGCGGAATAAGGGGTATATTCATTTTTTCGATTCATTTGCAGCACCTAGAAGGAAGCTTTAGAGACCCCCATAAAGTGTATATACATTATTGATCAGTATCAAGTTCTGAATCGATTTAAGCATGTCCGTCCGTGCAATGTCTGATCCTCCTGATCGCAAAAATGAAGAATTTGTAAGTAATCCAAGTGGTTACAACGCTGTCATGCCTTTGCAAGAAAAACTAAGAACACCTTTGCTTTCCGTTTTCACTTTTATTTAAAAAAAAAAATAAATAAATAAATAAAGAAAATCAGTCACAGCCACCCTATGTTATAGATTATGAAATTTTATTTTTTTTTCTTTATATTTGTTCTATTTGAGAATGACGTCGATGTACTCATCAAAAGGATTCCGTCATAGTCGAATATAATTTTCTTACTTGTTTTCATGCAAAGTTAACATGTAAAGCACTTCGTGTGCCATCACATGTATGTAAAATTATAACATGAACAGTATTCGTATTCGTTTCTTATTTTTCCTTTATATTAATAATGTTCATACGTCATAGTGTTCTTTTTTTCTTTTTATACCCATCACTGCTGGGTGGGATTGTATATTGGCTTTGTCGAAACGTTTGCAATATGCGGAGGGTATTTGAGTGGGTCAGAGATCATACGAGATGTGTGTATCGTTTTAAGCATGTCCGTCACTCCAATTGTTTGCGGACGTAAACGTTCTCTTTCTCGCAAAAAAGAAGTTATCGGCTTTAAATCTGATAGAAACATTGAAGGGCAAACGAAAGTATTTTGTCTGTCAGCGTCTGTGGAGCTGTGTGCAGTACCAGAGTTATCGGAATATATCAGCTTCAAGAAAATACGGCATGTGGGATCTGTATTGAAAATAAGCTGAACACGCTGCACCATGATATAGCAATAAAAGTTTCCTTTTAGCGATTCGACTGCACTTGTATACAAATGGAAGAAATCGGTCGCGCTCACCCAACATGACATGACAGCATATCCAACTATCATGTTTGTTTTTTGTGGTAAGTGCAAAAGATTCGGCGATAGCCGAACACTATTTCTTTACTGGCTTTAATTTCTTTTATGCTTTTTGCTATTGTGAGACGTTATTATGAGCCAGAAAGCGAGAAGAAGTAATTGCATGCTGGCGACTTAATTACATTCAAAATTCATTTATCAAATATTAACAATGAAATCACAACGTAACAAATTCAAATTTTAATTCTATCGAACAATTTCTTTTATTTACTCGATTGATTGACATAAATAAATCAAGTAAAACTGCCAAATGATTTATTATATATATATATATATATATAATACGTGGATGTGCGCGTGTATGTATGTCTGTGCCTATGTGTGCGTAATATCAATATCGAGCTACTTATACACGTAACACTTGTAGAGACGAGTTAGACTTAATGTAAAAAGAAATTTCTGCTCATACAATTGCTTATAATCAAGAGTGAATGTACACTTAGTACACTTGAACTTGTAAAGATTTTACAAATTTTCTTATTATTATTATTATTGTTATCGGGAGGAAATACTCTTTAAATGCAAATGACGTGGTTGCGTTTGCATTTTAACTTTTCCGTATTAGATAAAAATCAAAAATTTTAAATTAACTTTTCGACTCAATATTACAGATAGACCGGTGGACATTTTTAAGATGAAAAGTGAAAAAACCGTTAAAATAATAATAAACGATTGAAATCAATTATAAGAAATTATTTGATTTTTCCCTTCTTTTTCTACCCATCGTCGCCATTATACGATGGAGCTACAGAATACTCGCTATGTAATCACAAATGCATGTACACTGTAAACAAAATCAAAACGGAATTAAATGTAAAAGTTTTATAAAGGTTTTCTGATCGTACGTCTTCACGCAATTTGATCGAAATTTTTTTGCAATTTATGGCAAAATTATGCGAATATCATGTGAGATATTGATCGGAAATATTTTACAAAGCATATTATTATAGAATCATAACAGATGTGATATACGGAAAATGTGCTGAAAACCAACAAAATTAATTTAAATTATAAAGAAAATACATTTATGATTACGGTGAGCAAAGGCTCGGAACCTAATAAGCAGTTAATAAAACTCGATTCGACTTTTTGATATGAATTTAAATTTTTTTTTTTTTCCTTTTAAAACACTTATCATTAATACAGCTACAACTAGGGATAGGATCAACAAGGGTTAGTATAATTTAAGAAAAGAAAAAAACAAAAAAAAAGAAGAAAGAAAAGACTTTATCGATTTTTGTTGGTTTTTTTTTTTTAAACGATTACTTTCCGGTGCTTTTTAATTCAATTACATTTTCGAGAGTAAGACAATCCATTTCACTTGGCATTCATTAAACAGATTTCCGTTGACAGTAATCTTTCTGCTTCTGCATTGAGAATGGGTGTCAGTCTTTTTCTGCAAAGTCAATATAATTCATATAAGAAGTGGGAAAAGATTACGTAACAGACCCCGTTTTGGTACAAAACTGTTGCAAAATTTGAAATAAGTTTTTTGTCGTTTTAATAATTTATTTTACTGATATGCTCCTCATATGTCTTGTTGCTCAACAATTAACGCTTAATTAGTCATGCACTAGAATCCCAGGTGGACGGGAAAATTAGAAATTTGCTCTAAGAATTACAGAATTTTATTATACCTTTTGAAGATTTAAATTAAAGATTTTGCTTCTATTTTATAATCATAGGTATGTGCGTTGTGTGTGTAAGGGTATATATATATATATATATATATATATATATATGTATATATATGTATGTATACAGGTTTTCTTGTTTGCTTGCTTGCTTATAAACTAAATGCATGTACATAAATATTTGCAGTTTTGTAAAACTTTGCGATTGTTTCTCTGGTTAAAATTTCTTTTGTAGTTTATTTGCAGGTTTAAGGCAAAGGATAAAGATTTTGTTCGAAATCTTTTTGATGATCCACCAGGAATTTTTTGGACGTTTCCAGGCGCCGGTCTGTTATGGCGACGAAAGGTAAACGTTGCTTGCGACCTGTCAGACCGGCACCCACTAAACGTGGTGATGCATCTACGACGCGATGATATACAAAAGAATTACTAACTGTGCTAGCGTGATTGTTGTTGTTATTATTGTTATTGTTATTGCTGCTGTTAATAGTTTTGTTGCTAGTGTTGTGTAAGTTAGCTAAATTTGCCAAAGGTGCTAAACTGCTTGCTGCACGTACCTTATTATCAAATATTAATGATGCTACTGGCTCTCTATTTTCATTGAGCGAAGTTGACTTTGATAAAAAGTTATTGCCAGTACCGGCATTTCGCCTGCCATTGTAGGCTACGAAGCCGCCCGCATTTACAAAATTATTGTTGTCATTTATCGGGAATGGTGCAGTTTTTCTTAATTCGCTACCCGAGCTAGGCGCGAATTGTGAGCTACGTGAACGCGCCTTATTCATATAGTTACCAACGATCGCTGGATACGATGGTAATTTATAAAATGCTGCTTTCATGGTAGTGGTTAAAGTTGTTGGTGCTTTAGTTGTTGCTTGTAGTTTATGCAATTGCCAAGTCATTTGAGAATTTCCTGCATTTGATTTAGTTTTAATTTCCTTTTGCCAAATATTCTCATCATTATCGTTGCTGGCATCCGCATTGCTATTTTCAATATTGAAAATTAAATCGCTTTCGTCATCTACATCATCGTCCACATGCTTGTTGTTTGTTTCAAGGGAAATGCTAACATCTTCGTCAGGTAAATGATTTTCATATTGAAAGCTAATGTAATTATTTTCTGTTTGATATGATGGTTGGGTTGTTATGGTGATGCTCGAGTTTTTAGCATTGGTGAAGTTGTTGCTGTTGCTGTTGCTATTTTCAAAATCGTGATTGTTAGGGCGCTGTTGTTTAAACAAATCATGTTCTTGATGTTGACGATAATGATAACGTTTACGTTTTTCTTTAAGATAATCATCATCGATACGCACGACAGCGCTATCAGCGCGATTATCTCGCGGTCCTGATTGAGGTTGAGAGTCCGACCATGAAGAAAATTGTTGTTGCATTTGTTTTAAGGATGATTTAGTTGGTGGCGTTAAAGTGCCTTCTAACAAATTCAGTAACTGCTTATTACGACGATTATACTTTTTGATATAAGGAGGCAAGTTATCGTCGTCATTATTATCAATTTGCGTATCGTCGAAATCATTAATGCTGTCATATTCGTAGTCGTCGTATAAATCGGGGTGTGCTTCACGATAGTGTTCGTCGTAAACTTGAAATTGTACTCTGGCCAAATGAGGCCATTTAGCGTAATAGCGTTCCAAGTCTTTCATTTCGGTGATTTGATGACCTAATTCAGTAAGGGCGCTATTTGTATCTCCGGCGCTAATTCTTCTCTCTAATGGTTTGTAAGAAGGTGGTGGTAACGGTGTACTACTACTCTCGGCCATTATTAACTTTTTCGGTATCATTTTTCGTTGATATGGACGATGGCGTGAACGTTGTTTATTATGCAGTTGATTACGATGATGAGAATGATGATGTTGAATGTAATGATGACCACGATGATATCGATGATGTGATGCGACCGCATTATGAGGATAATGACTGGATGAGGGTGAATAGTTGCGTTCGTTGTTGTGATTGCGGTTATGACTGCCTTCATTGTTTGCTTTAATGCCATTACGTAAGACAGGACTCAATTTTCTAAACCAGTCTTGATCCATGCGTTTGTCCTCAGCAGTTATAGGTCGAGACTCTTGCAAAGGTATTCTTTCCCCATTATTACCATTTTCTTGTCGTTCATTATCGTCGACATCATCTGTTTCGACATAGTAATTAATTTGACCCTCATAGAACGGTTTCTTCGTAGCCGAATTTTGCAATCGCTTGCTCTCCTTAGATTTGATCATAAATATGGGCGATGAGGGAAAAGCCCTTTGCTCTGCTTGATTTTTCATTTTCATTTGTAATCGTTTCTCGTGCTTAGACAAATTATTTCGTACCGCAGATTTAATTGTGTTTTCCGAACTGATTCCTGATGCAGGTAATGGCTGTTCTGTAATTGCGTTTTTATCGGTTGATGCTGCGTTGACGGCCACTCTGTAACGCATGTAATCTTTATATTTCTTTTTATGGTTTTTATGGCCACTGCGTCGGTTACTGCGTTTCAATGCTTTTTGTTGTTCAAATGCTGTCGTCGGTGCATTGACTTTTGCTGATTCTATTACATTACAGTCACGCACACATAGTGCCAGAGCACATTACATCGCCAACATCAATTTGGAAAGTGCAATTACGAGGGTTTTTCCATGTTTGTGAAGTACGGAAAGATGCGAAATAAGAAAAAAAAAAAAAAAAAAAAAAAAAATGAAGAAAAATTGAAAATAGAGTAAGGATAGGCGTTTGCTTTGTTGCCTTCAATGTTTTCATAAAACAATTTACTCATACAGTTTGAAAGGATCGTACTCCTACATATAAACTTGATGGATTGTTTTATGAAATTTCTTCAGTCGCTAAGATTGAAAGCTACGCAGCTTATTTTAGCCTCACAAGCAAATAATAATTGTTGGAGACCGTACTATTAAAGACAACTGCAATTAATTCTCCTTTAAAGGAGAATAGCAAATCGAGCACTTCAGGTTAAGTGAATCTCGTAGAGCTGCAAGTCAATAATTTAAATAATCTCGATGAGTTGAAATTGTCAGTACATCAATTCATTTACAAGTATTAAGCTACATTAGGAGAATTTTCTGGAATGAATTTATAAGAGGAAGTAAATATCAAACTAGTTTGCGGAGTTAAGATTTGTTAGCATAAATGTAAATTAAGTCTTGCTTTAAAAATTACTTCATCGAATCATCTGTAGCAACCCACATTAGGATGGTCATTACGTTGTATGTCAAGAAAAACATTTTTTTGTTTTTATTATTATTATTATTATTGTTAATTTCGCCAGAGAAATAAATTCTAAGACTAAACTCTTATAAGCACTAGCATCGAAGGCTATCGGCTTTGTTTTTATTATTCCTTCATGTTAGGGGTAAGGTGTAAAATATCCGAAACTGCTCGAAATGAGTTTAATTAACCGTTTGAGTACCAGAGGGTTTTGAAAAAACACTGTCGAAGAATCCCAGAAAGCGCGATCGCGCTGTTTAGATTTTATGTCGAAAAATACCAATCGGCGCCATAGCGCTTGTGTAATTTTATGTCGAGAAATATTATAAATAGTAAATATTTCAAGTTTGTTCCACAAAAATTATAGAAAAAACAACACCAAAATAGAAATTTTTATTTTGTAATATATTATTGTACTACTATATTGTAGTACTATTTCACCTATTGTAATTGTATTGCGTTCGACTTCGACAATATGTAACGCACCGTCAGTTGTCGACAATGCTCGAAATATGCTGGATTTTCACGACATGATATCTGAACAGCCCGATCGCACTGCTTGGTACTCAAACGGTTAAAGTAGCTTGAGTAATTGCAGAAAATTGTGTTTGAATGCTTGTCCTAAGAATTATCTATTCATCATTAAATGGAATAAGTGAAAACATTATAGTTGGGCGAGGAACGATGTTAAGTAGATTTTTAGGTAAAGTAAGTTCCTAGGTTCGATCGTTCAATCACAAAAACAGAATGGAACTGTTTTCCATAATATTCTCATTTCAAGTCGCATCTTAAAACAAATTTTATTCAGAAGGTGCACGAGTTTTGCATCCACAATTCATTCTAATTTCTACATCTAGCTTAGCACGTTTACGATTCTTTAAGATATTATGCTAAGTTGTTTAAAACTTTCTCGACAACCGTTAGTGTTAGAGTTTGAATATGAATCGGCATTTTATTTTGGTGCATGATTGTGTTCGCTTCTTTTCTAAAAGAGTTTTCACACGGACGACCAACAATTATTCACATGCTTCGCTGATACGCAAACGATCTCAGTTGAAAGATGATACCCTAATGTAATCTCTAAAAGATGCGATGAGCTTTTTAAATTTGAGCAAGGCCGATCCTTAAATACCATGCATAACTTCATCTAATACAACTCTGCGTCTATTTTTCATGATAATATGCTCAATTTTGAGATGAACTAGCGCAATCTAAATTTAGTAAAATTACTTTCTTAGAATTTTACAAATATGTTTGTCATAAACATTAAACTTTGCCGCCATATGAGGGCTTACTTTTTACGTGAACCCGTATAAGCCAACGCGTTTCAAAAATTTGACCTACGTTAACCAATTTTGCTGCCATCCAAACGCTTACGTTTCGTATGAAAAATTATGCGGAGCAACGTTCAAAAAATGTCCTGTCCCGTTCCATCTTCATTTTGTTTTTAAATGGGGCGTGAGAGAAGGCCATAAAAATGTTGCGATTCAATTAACTTTCAATAGTGTGCGCCCTTGGACTAAAATATCTATGTATAAGTGCATATATGTAAAATGCACTAATTTTATCACAATATCACAGATATTGCGGCCTGTTGGGCATATAAAGACATGTAGATATATATCACTGACGCGGACGGAATATACAGACTTAAATGGGTATAAAGAGACGTAGGTTTACCACTAGTCCCTTATACGCTACAAGTGGTGCATGGCATGATAATTTGATTTTTTATTATACTTTACACCACACGACGTATTGAGTTTGTACGAATGTGTGCAAGACGCACTGACGATAGACTGGATTTTCCTAATACCAATCGATTCATAAATAATTTTTATGTTCGCTTCCATATAGGGGACTCCAAGTAAAATTTACCTTCATATGGAAACAAGCAATAACTTTTGGTACTTTATTAAGTAAATATATCAAGAAGTATGTAGGCAAAGTAGCAGTGTTTCAACTTGTTTTATTACATACAGGTTTCAGAGTGGGCTACTTAGAGCCTTATAACGCAACGCCCAATGACACGCGTGTGGAGCCCTGTCTAGCATCCCTTTGGTAGCTTGCCTCGAAACTTCGGGTTAATTACAGTCATTATGGTACTATTCGAAGACTCGTACTCAGCAGTCAGGCAAGAAGGCATTCAACCCGCTAGTCTGAGGAGTATTGAATGATCATACCAGGAGCAATCCCCACTTTGGACAACCTGACTTCCGTGGACATTCACAATTTCATGACTTGTCGTCTTTAGGGACTGACGTCAGTGTGACAATCTGCTCTCTTGACCTAACACGCATCCCGGAGACTATCCTTCCAAGGGCGTCATCATATAGCACACACCCAACTTTGCCCCAGCCCTCTTGAACTTCATAGATGATCAGAACGCGAGCGTGTTCGATGGCCGCAATAAAAGACAACCGAAAGAGGGAAGAATAATAAAACATGGCTCTCCTTTCTCAAGAAAAGAAAGCCCTCTTTTGATACTCCTCTTAGCTTTTTTACAAGCAAAACCCGTTGCCAGGTTAGTTTTCTTACAAACGATGAAAACAATCTAAGAACCGCTAATAATACTGTAAATGCTATTGCCTTATCGCCGGGAATATCGGGGAAGTCACTTCGCCGTTCGCTATATGAGCACTTCCCTGCATTTATTGCATCTTTTTGTGCACAAGAGAGATATAAAAATTCTTGTTTATCATTTTGCCGAAGCTTTTTTACTTAGCAACTACTTAAATAATTAAAGCGTGTTTACTCCAAATATGGTTTATTTGTGCCTTTCGTTCTTGTCCGTATTGAAAGAGGAGAGAGAGCAATTAGTACGTTAGTGCGATAGACCGATCTCTATCTCGAGCCAATTTTTCCTTTCTAGCTTGAGTCTACTCCATGCCACGAAATGTATGTAAATATGCATGTTGTTAACAAAACAAATATAATAGGTTGACGTTCGTTGGTGGCATCGCAATTCGTTTATCTAACTGTCAATTGCGTCTATGTTTGTTTATTTTCTGTCTGGCAGTTATAGTTGATTACGTTTGCATTTTGTGTATTTTATGCAACATTAAACGATGCTTTATTACTTTGTGACATTTAAAACATTTTTGCCTTAAAGTGATTAGGCGACATAACCATTATGTAATTCATTTAAATATAAAAATATATTCTATAGAATATTGAGATATATTATCTGGAAAAATAAATGCAAAAGCGATAAAAATATATTTATATATATATATATAGATACATATATATGCTGTAAAAAGTCATTTGCACGAGTTAATTACGGCCGTAATGTTTGGAATTTTGTTATGCTTTTTTTACAAATTGCGTTTGATATTATTCAGAATTGCTCCCTTGCCCACATATCGCGCAAATCATCGACACTCCCCACTGTTAAGCGATACAATTGCAGTTCGAGTATGAAAAGGCGGAGCATTTGATTTACGAGATCTCGGTACCGTTATTTTCATTATCAAGATGTTTCTTATCGCGGCTCGTCAATTACGTTTAACTATTGATATCGGGATAAATTAAACCTTTCGCCAATCGCGTCTCGCATTTAATTGCTGCACAGATCGTACTTAATCTCAATATTCTTGAAGTTTGTCTGGAATTTTCCTACGAAATTATACATGTACCCAATATACGATTTGCAATAAAATGAATTAAATTAACAAATTTTTTCAAAAATAATCTTTCAATGAACTAATCAGTGGAAAACAAAATTTTTCCCCAAAGTCCATTCCATACGACTATACATAAGCCGGCGGGAGGCGTTTGAGATTTTCATTTATTTTTATTTAAGAAATCATTTTAAACGCCTACGTTCTTATGCCCATTAAAGTAAGTAAAGTGCGTAAAGTACATAAAGTAAAAAACATTCTTTTTTTTATATAATTTATTTTTTTTATTTTATTATATTTTTAAGTCTTTCTCTACCATAAATCACGTTGAGGAGATTATTAAGTAGAAAGTAATTAACCATGTCGAGGCGTTCGTAAAATCTAATTTCAAATTTACCCACTTACTTTGATATATCCTATTGGCTGAGTCGTTTCATTCAATGACTTAGTTGGATTTCTTAGTAAATTCAGTGTCGCTCCCCTATAGGCATTTTAGGTAAATTTTTTTAGAATTTGACGATTTTGAGTGAATTGTGTGTGTGTGTGTGTGTGTGTGTGTGTGTGCGAAAATTCTTTGCTATTAGAAATAGTAACACACCTTGTAGGTGGAAGTAAAAAGTCAAACTTTCTATCCATTTTGTGATACAGCGTATACTCGTCGGTAGCCAGATATGTTCCTCCTTAACATGAACTAACACAAACTTGAATGTTCTATGATTTCGGGCCGTTTAACCTACTATGACGAAAGTGGTTTGAACTAAGCTACCGCAAGCACAAAAAGTTTAAATTTTTTGCAAAAGAGTTGCTTACTGCGAAGATATACTGCGCACTAGTTTGATCACTGTCAATTTCTAATCAACCTTAGATATCGTGCTTTAGTTCTGGAAACGTTCAATGATTAAAATCATCAATCAATTGCGACGAGTTAAGGTGCCCATAGGATCATTTCGCCATCGACGAAGGGAACGATTAAAGGAAATAGGCTACCGAATCACTAAGTAGGTGTCGTCCATTTTAAACAATAATATTCTTTACGAAAACATTTCCAACGTTCATCACTGTATTGTGAAAAAGCCCGATTTGCTCACCAATAGCCATACGACTTGTAGATGAGTAGACTGTTAAGAATTTACGTAGGTACTCTGAATAGGATGGACAAGTGTAAAAACCGTCTGTTTCCAATGTAAAAGAATCGCTCAATTAAAACCTTTGAATAATACATTTTTACAGAATTATTTTACATATATACTGACCTTTAATACTTTGTTGATTAAGTTCTTTAAATTGATTTAAGTCAATGTGTTTTGTAGAATTTCGTTCTAACGTATTAAAATAGTTTCTATCATTGTCGCTATGTCGGTCTATAATAGTTGCTTGATTTTCATTATTTTTTATGACTTTTTTAGTGATATCATCATTGTCAGCTGTGTTATGATTATTATTGTCAATCCCATCGGTTTGAGCGATTTTTTTATTTAGATAAGATATCAGCCTGGGATTGTCATCGTATTTATTTGCTGCATCGTCTAAACGTGCCGCATTATTATGCCGTTTAGCTTTTCGCGGTATTAACACTTGACCGTAACTATTATTGATGTTTGCTGCTTTTGACTGTGAACTGTGCAAGTTAAATGATTTTATCTCTTTGTTCTCGTCTGCATCAATATCTTTGTTTGTCTCTTCGATATCGCCAATAGCAGTCAGCATATTTTTCTGTTTAACTTTTCTATCATCAACAGCAACATCATCATCATTGTCTTTAACGTCATCAATATATTTATCAATAATCACGTTATTGTTATTGTCAGGCACCAGGTCGTTTTTCATTTCATTCAATTCGTTCGATTTCTTGATATTCGTTAGAGCTGACAAATGCCATTGTCTCTCAATTTCTTTTTGCGGATGTCGTTCGTGCATGCTTTTGAATTTTTCATACTCAGCATTCCCGTCGTCTTTATCATTCTCATCATATAATTCATCCAAAATGTATTCTTCCGTTATATCATCGTATGATGTATTTAAGAGTAGTCTGCTATTATTGTTATCGTTTTTGTATTTAATCGTTTGAATTTGATTCGTGGTTTTATTATTATTATCATTATTATTATTATTATTATTATTGTTGTTGTTGTTGTTGTTGTTGTTGTTTTTATTGGTGTTTTTAGTCTTTTTGTTATCCATTCCTTCTCTACTCTCTAGCTGCAATTGTTGTAGATTTACTTTGTTACCGATAGTTTTCTTCAAGGTTTTCTCTGTCATATCATTGCTTTTATTGTTATTACGTGTGTTCAAATTCCTTTCATTATACCTTTGTGACTCAAGTATCTGTATAAAGAGAAAAACGAAAAAAAAAAAAAAAAATATATATATATATATATATATAAAGAATACAATGAAGAGAGAAAGGAAGCAAGAGAGAGAGAGAGAGAGAGAGAGAGAGAGAGAGAGAGAGAGAGAGACAGAGATAAGGAGATAAATTTTTTAGAAAAACAGAAAGTTATTTGGTAAAATATGTTTGTAAGTTTATTATTAGAAAGCGTCTCAATCGCGTTGTTCTGAGTCAAGTGCATGATAGCCATAAAAATCAATGAGTTTCCCGGAGAGTTTTCCAAAAGAACAAAATTAAAACTTGAACTTTCTTTTGTTGAAACTTATTCGATTTTTTCTTCCGCAAAAGTCAAAGTGAAAGGGCAATAAGAAAAGAAATATTCAAAACTTCTTGTATGCCTTTTATAATTGGCATTGTTAGTTACGCTTACAGACTTAAGTTGCTGACTACGTATATGATATGTACGGCAACTCAATTATAAGAAAAGTTTCGTACTTGATATGCATAACGAACATTTGCATATGCGTATGCATTTCGGAAATTTCATTGTTTATTTCTTCCGTTGTTCTTAAATAGTAATTTACTGGATGTTTATTTCATATTTGCGATTTATACTAATACATATTCAGATTTACGATTCTATAACGCTATCTCGATAATGATAGTTTTTGAAATATCTTATATTGCAAAGTTCTATCAAAGGTCTATCAATTCTCAACTCTTCGCTTTAAATACACATATATATATATATATATATATATATATATAGCGAATAATGCATTTATATGAATTTAGAGCGGATAACTCAATTTGCTTACGCATGACTAACTTTAATATTGATCTATATTTATATTTTATATATATATATGTACACTACCGGGCTTACCCTACGTGCTTTATTAGATCATAAATAACCAAACATTTCAATGATTTGAAAAACTGAAATTGAATTTGTGGTAGGTTTTAATTGAATTCTAATATGTTTTTTGTATATATGTTGGATATATAATAGGTGCTTGCATGTATTTTGATCAGCGATAATTTTTGGGAGAGATGATGAAGTAACGCGAGCTAATAATACACAAAACGATTAATTCGATGATTTTTACCCCTCTATACATAAAATCAAATATTTTTCCATCTAGTATTATTGAGTTATTCGATGTATACGGACAATAGCCATGGAACGCTCATAATTCATTATTTTTGTTATTTAATTTGAAGAAATGTGCATCCGACGCCTATCAAGCATTCATAGAAGCTTATAGTGATGCTGCTCTATCAGAAGACACAGACAGCTTAGCAGTTGACAAAACAATTATTTTTAGACGTTTACATCTGATGGAAAAGATCAAAAGGGAAGGAAAATGATTACTCTAGGAGTTGTCTGCAAAGCCCATTTCGAACCGTTTCAACATTGCGGTTTTATTGCTTGCCAGACAAAAAAGGCCAGAATTTTCAGCAACGTCTTGCGACTGATGATGAAAATTAGGTCTGCATTAACGCCGAATGTCCATAAAGTTTTGCTGTGCATATGGTGGGATCAGCAAGATTTAGTATATTACATGCTGCATAAACGGAATGAAATTGTTACTGCGGATGTCTACCGACGTCAATTAAATAAGTTGAACGATGTATTGTTGCAGAAAAGACCAGCAAAAGGGGTTAACAGGCGCAAAGTCATCCTCTTGCATCAAAACGCCCGGCCACAGGTCACAGGAGTCAAAGGTACACTGTTGAAGGTCGAATAGGGAAGTTTTGTCGCACCCAGCATATTCATTAGACATAGCGCCTTCTGGCTGCCACTTAATGAAATCAGTGCAGTACGGCTTGGCTGATGCGCGATTTCGAAATTTTAAAGGGGTGTGAAAACGGGGTCGATCGTAGAGGATCGCTGCCAAACGAATATCGTTCTTTCGACATGGCATCGACATGTTGCCAGAGAGATGGGAAATAGTTTAAGAAAATAATGGAAGATCTTTTGATTAATATATATTCTATCAATTTTTTTCAATAAATTCCTTTTTCAAGGGAAAGAATGATTAACATACATGCAAGAACCTTATATGTATATGTATATTTGCATGCACACGAATGAACATTTTAAATTATTTTTCAAAAACCACAAGTAAAATTTTTAATAGGCCACACATAATGTACAGATATCAAAACAATATTAGTAATAAACAATATATCCTTACGTAACTGCATTAAGAGTATAATAAGCCATTTTTCAATGTTGTAAAATAATCGGAAAATTTTTAATATGCATTTTTGGTATAAACGAACAGATCTGTCCTGCCGATTTCTCTGTCCTAGTATTCGTTTTAAATTTATTTGTGGAAGCTCTCTCGCAAATAATTGTGCGAAACCAATAAGACACCAATTACCAGGTAGAGTATAGGTAGAGTGTTCACCTCCCAGAATTACTTCACGCTATACATTAGGGCAATTGAAGTGAACCCCGCTAGGTGAAAGAGGGGAACACTGTATTACTAAAAGCATTCTCTGGCTAAGATACTACTAATATTCATCAGTCATTTCGTCACTCTCCTGACAATATCTTCATAAGCTGTTTCGTTCTGATATTCTTACCATTCCTGAATGTCAAAGCCTGTTCTCGAGGTATTATTAATCCGGTTTCGAATATTTTATAACTCGCATCCTGTCGAAATCGAAAATCGGCCTAACTAGCGGGCCACCGATACACGGAATGTACAATAGAATATATGTACAATAGAGTATATGTTGGAATGAGGAGTTTGTTTCTTGAATTTGCTAACGGAGGCGATTGTGGGCGTACTTCTCTTTAAACTGATATAAAGATTTAAGGCATATATCAATTTTTTGTTTCTATTCTTGCGTTGCAGAACTTTTGTGAAGCAGATATTTGGCGGATATCACCTATGTATACTCATTTATCGTGGCTATAGACAAAAAAAAAACAAAAAAAAAAATCGCTGACTATCGCTAACAATGATGCAATTATTATACATTGTACATTCTGTGAATTTTTTCCTCTTAAGAAAGTTATTTCTCAATAAATACAAAGTACCAAAAGCTGTTAACCGCCTGCATATATATATATATATATATAATATATATATAAGGTCAATAACTATGAATAATATAACTTGTGTTTTGATAAACAGACTCTTTAATATTTATAAATGACTCATAATGAAATTTTAGTAAATTTTTGGTTTATTTCAATTTTGTGGTTTAAGCTTTTGCCCAAACAATTTCAGTTTGCGATGATATTAGATGAAGATGAAGAAAAAGAAATCAATAACGATTTTAATAGTAATTTTATGTATTATTTCTCTAAGGACAAGCAGTAGGGTTGTTTTCTGACAAACAACTTTGGTATTTTCTAAAATTGTTAACCTCGATGTAAGAGAGCTTGCATAAATTTGACACAGATTTGCGCACACTTGTGAAACGTAGGTGCAAACTGGGCTTGCCTAATATCGAATTTGTGGGCCATGATAATGTAGTCTCTGCAAATGTAGTATATAAAAATGAAAAAAAAATAAATAAATAAATAAAAAATCTATTCGCAATTAGATTGAATAGCGGATGGGAACGAGGCCCTCTTGTTTTTACGATTTAAACAAAAAAAAAAAAAACAACTATCTGAAGTCAGATATAACAATGCCCCTTAAACATTCAATCCATGGGCAGTTTTAGATACTAAACTAACTAATGATGTGAAATCTTGGGGTATAAGCATTGCTTACTTGAGCCTTTTGTTTCACTTGAAATGTAAACAAGTAGCGTTTAACAAAATATTTGGCCTTTTTTTTTTGTGTGTGTGTATTATAATTTCTTCGTGCTTCGAATTTTTTAGCGCATGTTTAAAGAGCGCGAAAGATTAGACAAGCCTGGCAAAAGTAAGCTATTATGGTATGTTCATAAGTGTGTATAGATATATATATATATATATATATATATATATAAGTGCTTGTTTGACCCTGTCTTACTTACAATATCGGCTTCGGCCTCAGAATCATCGTACGGCATGTTAACATCAATAATATCAGCACCGCTCTCTATACCTTCCTCATCAATAACCAATTGATGGAGGTCTCTATTGAAATCTCCATCTAGATGTTTTGATTGCTTTTGTTGCTGCTGATACTGCTGCTGCTGCTGCTGCTGCTGCTGCTGCTGTTGTGGTTGTACAACGAATACATCGTCTGGTATAGAAGTTTCATCTTGTAAATTGATATCGATATTGTAAAAAGAAGAAGAAGAAAAGTGAAAAATTTTTCATTGAAATATTTGATTCATCAACGAAGAATGTAAATATTTCGGGGCAAAAAAAATTCTCTCCTCATAATATTTACGATTTTTTTTTTTTAACCGAGATTTAAATGTGTCTTTTTAAATCGAAAACAAACATATCGTAAGGAAACCAATTCCGCTCATTTCGGCTATATATTTTTGTTAAAAGAGAAAAAAAGATTGTATAGTGTTCCATTTACGGTGCAAGTACAAGGACAAGGACTTTTATTACACCAATCAATTCTGAATCATTGTCGGAATTGGTTTAACATTCTTTGTCTGTTTGTCTGGCATTTGTCAATGTGCTTTTGTTTTCAGCTTTAAATTTTTAAGATATTTCATCGATATTTGATACACTGATCTCGTCTGGCCCAATTACCAATTTACCATAATGCCATAGTATAAGGTCTCACTCGAAAGAAAAAGATTTTTTAATTTTTAATATTTTTCGAAAAAAAATCGCATTGTTATAGCGTTCCTGCATACTTTCGGTGGCATCACTTTTTGAATCCACGACAAGGATCAGGGTCCAATTGTGAGCATTTTATAATCAAAAGTGATATTTATTGGTAATTGGATATAAAAATTAATTGTAACAAATATGGAACTCATCTCATATAAGATTTCTCATGGACACTAAGCATTTTTATGGTAAAAAGGTTAAGTGTTATTATTAATTTATGATGAAAACTGGTCTATAATTGTATCCAATTATAATGCCTTTTGCTTGCTTGTCATACTTAATTTTTGTTATATCCAGCACTATAAGATGGGGTTACACTCATTTTGTTTTCTCTTATAGTATATGTAACACTTAAAAGGAAAGCTTCAGAAACTCTATATATATTCTTGATCAGCGTGAAATTCTGAGTAGATTTAGCCACGTCTGCCCGTCTGTGTTGTTGGTACACTCCTGGTCACAAAAATCAAGATATCGATTTTAAATTTGGTAGAAATACTGTAAGTTTCTGGAAATGGGCCAAATTGGTTGGAGCAGAAGCACACGGTGGAGCGTAAACTGAACACAACTTTTTCTTAATAGTATCACCGATATGGGTATCAAATAAAAGAACTTTAAGATTAGAATGGAAAAAACATAGTGGTGCGTATGCGAGATTCGGCCACCGCCGAATATAACTTTTCTACTTGATTTTAAAATAAAATCATGGCCGATTTTTCGAATTTTTAAAAATTCGCGGTGTGGTTTTGTGTCTACTCGTTAAGAAAACTGATATCGCTTTTCAGATTTGCGACTTTTGTGTGGAATACTTGAGTTTAACAAGTGGACCGTATGCATCTCCTTTTTTTCGTGTAGAAATCCCAATACATTTGATTTTTTTTTTTTTTTTAAAAAGAAAATCAATACTCAAACCTCGGTTAGCAGGGTTAGTGTGACTCTTTTAATATGCGGGATAGTATTATTTCTAATGATATCATGTACAGTTATATTTAGTGAAGCAGACAACTTAATTAACGTTTAGTAAAAATTATGCCGTTTTCTCCCACCAGACATTCGAAATATGTGCAATGCAACCCTTGAGTATTTTACCAGACAAATATATGTGATTTTAGATTTTAGAAAAGAGATTGTTTTTTGCTCTCAACAGGAAGGTATGTAAATAGAAGACATTTTTGATTTTGACAAAGCCCGAATAGTTGTGATGCAAAATAGGAGTTTCAATCTCTTGCATGTGAACACATACACTCTTATCGTTGTGTTTTCTTTCTTTTTTGTTTTTTTTGTTTTTCCTAAATCCATTAATTTCCTCTAGAGAATAACTCCATAGTATTCATTCTTGGTTAGGTTCATACATGTGACGCATGTCATATATGCGTATGCATATATGCATGCAGATTTTTTATGAATATTGCGATTGTGTAACGCAATTCCCATAAGAAGTCTATATGCATATATGTAGGAGCATATAATTGTTTATGGGGGGAGGGG